CATGCTTCTGCCTTCCTCCCTCGTTCTGCCCTCCTCCCCTCCCTCTCCACTCGTTCTGCCCATTCTCGCCCTCCTCCCTCTCCCCCTCCCCTCCTCCTCCTCCTCCTCCTCCTCCTCCTCCTCCTCCTCCTCCTTCTCCTCCTCCTCCTCCTCATGATCCTCTCTGCTTACCTCCATCCTTCCCTCCTGAATTACCCCTGGCTCCTACCCCTTTTCCTCATCCTCCTCATCCTCCTCCTCCTCCTCCCTCCATCCGCCCTGCACACGTCCTGTCCCCCATTCCTCTTCATCCTCATCCTCCTCATCCTCTTTCTCCTTCTCCCCCATCCCTCCTCACCCCGTCCCTCCTTCCCTATCCCTTCTCCCTCCCTCCGTCAATCACCCCACAACCCTCACCCCATCATCCCTCCGTCCCTCCTTCCATCCCACCTCCTTCATCGATACTGCTCCCTCTCCCCTTCCGTTCCCTCACCCCCTCCCTACCTCTCTCCGCCCTTCCCTCATCCCTCTCCACATACCTGCCTCTCCTCCTTCCCGCCCCGACTCACGTCCCCCGCCCTTTCAGTATATTTTCCCTCATCCCTTCCCACTCTCCCTTCCCTCCCCTTCCCAGAGACTGTCGATATATTAATTTTTTCCTATCTGCTGACCCCTTCACTGGGGGCAGCGATTTCGTTCCAGATCCATCCGTGATGGCCGCTGGAGTCCGAAACAAACGAAAAACGCCACGACTGAAAAAAGCAAAAGGGCTTCTAATGCGCAGTACGGACCCAAAAAAGGCCTGGACCCTTTCCCTGGGACTGGCTCGTCCTTCCAGCTGTATTTCCCGAGAATACCAGAAGCGGGCGCCGGCGCCGTTCCAGAGCGCTCCAGAACGCCGAGGAGGAGGAGGAGGAGGAGGAGGAGGGAGGAGAAGAAGGAGAAGGAGGAGGAGGAGGAGGAGGAGGAGGAGGGAGAGGGAGGAGGAGGAGAGGAGGAGGAGAAGGAGGAGGAGAGGAGGAGGAGGAGGAGGAGAAGGAGGAGGGGAGGGGAGGAGGGAGGAGGGAGGAGGAGGGAGGGAGGAGGAGGAGGAGGAGGAGGAGGAGGGGCTAGATGGGCTCGCCCCTCAGCAGACATCCTACAGTGGGGGCATATCCACAAGAAACCTTCCACAAGCAACCCAACCCTGAGACCCCAGGACGTCCATTGATTTTTGGTGTATGATCGTCACGCTTTCCACAGCAAAACCATCGAAACCCAAAAAATCCAGAGCACCCTGGAGGCAAGCAGGGTGTTTCTTGACATGGGCCCCCACTGCAGGATGTCTGACGAGGGGCGAGCGCATCTAGCTTGCCCATACCCCCTCGGCCAAGTCCCCATCCATCTCTTGGACGCCCCCCGCCCCTTCCCTGAGGGGCAGCGCTAGGGGGGGACTGGGCTCAGCGGAGGGGGGAGGAAAAAAACCTCGAGCTGACATCGGTGATACATCGCCGGCACATCGGCGATGGGCCCCAAACAGCGAATCCGCACGTGCCTGTGCGGGGTGGGCCATCAGGCTCCTATCGGCGATGAATGGGCGATTGGGGGTCGTTGTATCCCTCTGGAGCAGATCCCCCACGAACGCTGCCCCCTGGCTTTCGGGTCATAGGTCAGCTCCCCGGCGGCCGCTCGGGACGATCTGGGCACCCCTGGGAACGCTCTCGGCGAGGCGCAGCTGCTGAAGAGCACCCTGGGGCTGGAAAACCGCCGAGGACCGACAAAAAACGCCCGACAGCCCCGACAGCCTCGAAGCCAAACCTAACCTGAACCTATCCCCCCCTTGGAGCTGCCCCTGATTGCCCCCCCGCCCCTCCCCAGGGCCTCCCGCTGCTGCCGGACGGCATTGTCCGCGTCCTGCTCGGCCTCGGAGCCGGGTTGCCCGCCCGCTCCCCGGGAACGCCACTGGGGAGGCCGGGCAGGACGGGGAGGGAGGGGGAAAGTGGCCCCAGGGTTTGCTTCTGTTGGCTCTGAACCTCGTAGGCGTCTAAGCCCGTTCGGCCGCCGGATTGGGCTCCGGATCAGGAGAAGGAGAGGAGGAGGAGGGAAGGAGAGGAGGAGGAGGAGGAGGAGGAGGGAGGAGGAAGGGAGGAGGGAGAGGAGGAGCGGGAGGAGGAGGTGAAGGAGGGGGGGGAGGAGGAGGAGGAGGAGGAGGAGGAGGAGGAGGAGGGGAGGAGGAGGAGGAGGAGGAGGAGGAGGAGGAGAGGAGGAGGAGGAGCGGGAGGAGGAGGTGAAGGAGGGGGAATGGGCTAGGGGCATGGGGCAGGGGGCAGGGCTAGCGGAGGGGCATGGGGCAGGGGGAATGGAAATGGAGAAGGGAGAGGGGGGAGGGGGGCGAGCAGACGTGGCAGGGCTGCGGTGGCAGGAGCAGCGACAGAGACGCGCACCGAGATCCTTTCGGCGAGGTGTAAGCAAAATCGCACGGTAATTAGCCCGAGCACGGTTCCGCGGCAGCAGGACGGAAGACAGGGGCCCAAGCGCGTGCATTTCCAGCGCCTCCCTCCCGCCTCCCCCCTCCCAGGAAGGAGAAGACAGGGAGAGGAGGGCGGGCGGAGGGAGGTGGGCGGGAAGCACTGGATGCGTGCAGCGTTTGGCCCCCGGAAGGCACGTGCAAACATTGACACCTATTCCTGTTTGCACTCGCGCCCCGGCGCCTGCCGCCCGAGCCCTCGCGCCCTGTGCAGCGCTAGCGGGGGCCCAACAGGTGAGAGGCGGGCGAGGGAGGAGGAGGAGGAGGAGGAGGAGGAGGAGGAGGAGGAGGAGCGAGGAGGAGGAGGAGGAGGAGGAGGAGGAGCGGGAGGAGGAGGTGAAGGAGGGGGGGGAGGAGGAGGAGGAGGAGGAGGAGGAGGAGGAGGAGGAGGAGGAGGAGGAGGAGGAGGAGGAGGGACCAGAATATACCCAAGATGCAGCAAGGATGCTGCAATAGACCCTCCCGTTCCAGGTCCCCTCCTCACTCGTCCCTACAAGCCTTCTTGTCCACTTCAAGAAGCACCCCTTTGAAAGAGAAGCACCCCACGAGCCTGCCTTTCGGGCGAGAGCCGCGTCTTGCAAAAGAGCGAACTGCACTGCGTCCTTCCAGCGAGTAGCACGGCACGCGCAAGAGTGTGATCATACAGTCCTGACGGATGTCCAGCGAGACCCCCGTTTTGAAAAGAACAAAAAAACGGCCCACCTGTCTGGGTAGTCGAAGCCAATCTGGCGCCAATCTGGCAGGCCCAATCTGGCAAACGGGGGCAATCTGGCGAGGGAGCCAACGCGAATCCAGTCTGGCGAATCACCCAAATCCTCCAGGTTGGCCAGGCCAGACTGGCCCTTGGGGCCCAATCCAATCTGACAGTCTGGCCTTCGACTACCCAGCTTGTGTAGCTCCTGCATCTGTCACGGTCCACGCCGGCGGGGCTGGCCGCGCCAGCTCACACAGGGAGGAGACCCGTCCGCCCCCGAGTGGCCTCTCGTGGTCCCCCCCTCCGCGGCCGCCCCCGCCCCGTCCTGTTCTCCGCTCGCGCACGCCGGCCAAGTCGCTACCACGGCGCCCCCGTTTGGCCTGCTCGCTGGTTTCGGACGCCCGAGATGGGTACGGAAAGAATGGGTAATATGCCCAACAGCAAATGTTGTCCCAAACCAACAGCGGCCGCTGTTGGGCAGGCGGACTCCTGTCTCGAGTGGACACAGGCCGCGGCGGCGTGGACAGCGGATCCTGTTCAAGATGAACAGGAACTGCTGTTGGGCATCGCACCCACTCTTTCGGTACCCATTTCGGGCGTCCAGACACTGGTGTTGCTACCTCAGCCTCGCCGCCAACGGAAAAAGTGTAACTCTTGCACCGGTTTTCACTTATGGCCGCGAGCGTCGAGCGGAAACCCCATGTTGAAACGAGCCGCCCTCCACCCATCTGTGAAAGCTACTGGTCCTGAAAATAAAAGAAATCCCGAACGAACGCCCAATGCTGAAGAAGGACCGCCTTTCACCCGTGCAGCTGATGCTTATGTTCAAGCTGATAGTCCTAAGTTTTATTCAAAGACCAAAAGCTCAAGCGAATGCCTCGCTTTGAAATGAAGATGAGCCGCCCACAAACCCTGTAACTGTTGCAAACGTTCAGAACGGATGTGCGTGGCGCTACAGCGAAATTCAAAAGTTTTCAAACGCCCTCCATCACTGAAACTGCTGCAGACATTTAAAACGATTTGCGCGCAACGCTGAAACGAGAGCCACACTTTGAAGAGAAACCGCCCTCCATCCGCGAAATTGTTGCAAGCTTGTAAATTAAATGTGCGCGGCACAGCAGCGAGAGCTACATCTTGACCACGACCTGCGCTCCATCCGTGAAGCTGCTGCAAGCTTGAAGAGGAAGGTGCGCGACGCCAAGGCGGGAGCTCCACGTGGATAGCGACACACATACACGCACACACACACACACACACACACACACACACACACACACACGACCCTTGAAACTGTCCCAAATGTCCAGATCCGTGATCATACATGGTGAAAAATCTCAGCGGAACGCCAGACCCACCCTAACACGACAGACAAGGAGGAATTATGGAGAAGGAAAAAGGAATGGAGGAGGGGGGGAGAATGAGTAGGGAAGGGGGAGGAGGGAGGAGAGAGGAGGGAGGAGGAAGGAGGGGGAGGAGGGAGGAGGAGGGGGAAAAGGTTCAGTTCGGTTCAGTCGTCCTCGAGGGCACGAATCCAACTCGCAACTGCCGGGCGGGTGACACTTCCCAGGCCGGGGGAGAGGGGGAGGAGGGGGAGGAGGCGGTAGATGGGGGGAAAAGAAGGGGAGGAGGGGGGAGAGAAGGAGCCAGAGGGGGAGGGGGGAGGGGGGAGAAAGAAGGGAGGAGCAGGAGGGGGAGGAGGTGGAGGAGAAAAGGAGATGAGGATGAGGAGGTGAAGGAGGAGGAGGAGGAGGAGGAGGAGGAGGAGGAGGAGGAGGAGGGAGGAGGGGGAGGAGGAGGAGGAGGAGGAGGAGGAGGAGGAGG